AGCTTTAAATATGCTACTCTGATCAAGTCCATCCCTCCTCCCACTTATACAGTTTATTTTTCCTTTTTCAGAGATGGGGTCTCATTTTGTTGCCCAAGCTGGAATGCAGTAGTAGCACAATCATGGCTCACTGCAGCCTCCACCTCCTGGGATCAAATAATCCTCCCACCTCAGCCTCCAGAGTAACTGGGACTACAGATGTGCACTAATTTTTTGGGGGGTTAGAGGTGGGGGTCTCATTATGTTGCCCTGGCTGGTCTCAAACTCCTGGCCTCAAGCAATCCTCCCACCTTGGCCTCCCAAAATGCTGGGATTACAGGCATGAGCCACCACGCCTGGACTCATATACAAATCATTTAAGACATATAATCCTCTGAGACTGAGCCCCTGATCCCTCTCCATCTTCACCTCCTGCCAGCACCCCCTCACACACGACATCCCAGTATTTCCAACCAGAGCAAATTACTTGCTCTTTATAAAGTGGCAGCTCTCTCATACATTTCTTTCTGCCTTTAACATGTTTTGTTTCTGTTGCCTGGAAAGCCCCACCTCTTCCGTGTCTGCTTGGCCAGCTTCTACTTGTGCTTCAAGGCTGGTCTAAAGCCTCACTTCCCTTTGAGGCTTTTCTTGGATCCTCCAGACCAAATTTACATTTCCTATAGCAATTGGCAGTTGTTTACATGTCTTTCTCTCATACTAGACTGTCGTCATCTTGGGCAATTTGCAATTCATTTTTGTATGTTCACTTCTTTTTTTCTTTTTGAGATGAAGTCTCAGTCTGTCACTCAGGCTGGAGTGCAGTGGGGAATCTCAACTCACTGCAACCTCCGCCCCCTGGGTTCAAGAGATTCTCCTGCCTCAGCCTCCCGAGTAGCTGGGACTACAGGCACACACCATCATGCTCAGCTAATTTTTGTATTTTTAGTAGAGACGGGGTTTCACCATGTTGACCAGGATGGTCTCGAACTCATGACCTTTTGATCCACCCATCTTGGCCTCCCAGAGTGCTGGGATCACAGGTGTGAGCCACCACACTGGGCCACTCACTTCTTTTTGTATGGAAACGTGGCAGACTCTCTGAGGATGTTTGTTGATAAAATGAATTCATTAGTGATGTAATTATCATATCTATTCTTACAATAGTAGAGAGCACAACTGAAGCCAGGTCAGTATGACAGGAGGGATAAGTCTAGAGCTGTCATGTCCAGTACAGAAACCAATAGCCACATGTGGTTGTTGAGCACTTGAAATGTGACTAGTTTAAGATGTGCTATGTCAAACACATGGGATTTTGAAGACTCAGAATGAAAAAAGATTATAAAATATCTAATTAATATATTTCATGTTGATGACTTGTTGAAATGATAATCTTTTGGATATATTAGGCTAAATAAAATATATTATAAATTAATTTCACTGTTTCTTTAAACCTTTTTGATGGCTACAAGAAAATTTAACATTATACATGTGGCTGGACACAGTGGCTCACGACTGTAATCCAAGCACATTGGGAGGCCAAGTTGGGCAGATTACTTGAGATCAGGAGTTCAAGACCAGCCTGGGCAACATGGTAAGACCTTGTCTCTACTAAAAATAGAAAAAATCAGCTGGGCATGGTAGTGCACACCTGTAATCCTAGCTACTTAGGAGGCTGAGGCATGAGAATTGCTTGAACCAGGGAGGTGGAGGCTGCAGTGAGCTGAGATCATGCCACTGCACTCTAGCCTGGGCAACAGAGTGAGACTAGGTCTGGAAAAAAATTAATAAATAAATAAAAATAAAATAAAATTATGCATGTGGCTCGCATTTGTGGCTCACAGTGTATTTCTGTTGAGCAATAATGATCTGGAGCATTCATTCATTGAACAATTTTTTTTTTTGAGCTGGAGTCTTACTCTATCACCCAGGCTGGAGTGCAGTGGCATAATCTCTGCTCATTGTAACCTCCGCCTCCCAGGTTCAGGTGATTCTCGTGTCTTAGCCTCCTGAGTAGCTTAGACTACAGGCCTGCGCCACCATGCCTGGCTAATTTTTGTATTTTTAATAGAGATGGGGTTTTACCATGTTGCCTAGGCTGGCCTCAAACTCTTGACCTCAAGTGATCTGTTTGTCTTGGCCTCTCAAAGTGCTGGGATTATAGACTGAACCACTGCACCTGGACTGCAAATATTTCTTGAGCACCTCCTAAGTACCAGGCATTAATCTAGATGATGGGAATAGAAGAACGAACGAGCCAGAGAAGGTTCCCAACCTGAAGGAGCTTCCATTATCATGGAGGAGAGACCCAGACCAGTAAACAAAGACGTAAGCCAGATAATTTTATATAGTAAATGTACTCTGAGTCATATAAAGCAGGGCACTTGATACAGAGGTGAAAGTGCAGGAGGGCAGTTAGGTAAGGCCTTCTACAGCAGCTGAGTTAGCTGAGATCAGAGGCAGGAATCGGAGGGAGAAGACTAGAACATGTTTAGATGACAGGCAGTATAGACCAAAATTAAGAGGAGGGGCAGAAGGGGAGGAGCAAACAGACTTCATATGTGGAAAGTAACATTGGTAGAACTGTGTAACCAAAAGAATTCCGGAGCGGTGGGAACTGATGGCTCCCAGGCTTCTGGCTTGGGTGAGTGGGTGAATCGCGGTGCCACCAGATGAGATAAAGTAGGAATGTGTCTTGAGGAATCGAGAAATTCCATTTTGACAGTGTGAGGGGCCACTGGGATGCCCAGGCAGCCACGCTAAGGGAATAAACGGTCAGGGCCTGTTATTTGGATCTAGCAGCATAGATGTAGCCATTAAAACTGAGTGTATCTGAGAAATAAAAGAAGATGGTAGGCAGAAGAGGACACTCAGGGCTTGGTGTGGTGGCTCATGCCTGTAATCCCAGCAGTTTGGAAGGTGGAGGCAGGTAGATCACCTGAGGTCAGGAGGTTGAGAGCAGCCTGGCTAACATGGTGAAACCCCATCTCTACTAAAAAGACAAAAATTAGCTGGGTGTGGTGGCACGCACCTGTAATGCCAGCTCCTCGGGAGGCTGAGGCAGGAGAATTGCTTGAACCCTGGTTGGCAGGGGGGTGGGGTGGGGGAGAGCAGAGGTTGCAGTGCAGTGAGTTGAGACCGTGCCACTTCACTCCAGCCTGAGTGAAAGAGCGAGACTTTGCCTAAAAAAAAAAAGAGAGAAGAAAAGAAAAAGAAAATGAGACACTCAGGACCAGGGAGCACATTTCTAAATTGGAAGATACTTGAGCATGTGTCTAGGTTGAGGGGAAGGATCCAGGGCAGCCGGAGGGGTTCACTTATCCCAAAAGCCTGGGAAAGTTCCTGTGAAAAAGTCTTCCCAACTACAAGCATTCTGACTGCTCACATTTTCAGCATTAAGAGAGAAATTATTGTCAACAGAAAAATCATGTAATCCCCAATATGTATATCACAATACCTTGACACTTTGCCATGTAACTTGGGTCCCTTGTGGGTTCTGAGGGAGCAGTTCTGAGAAGGCGAGACTGATGCAACAAGGTTGGGTGGTGATGGTAGGGATGGGCCAGCTTGAGAGCCTGGCTGGGAGGAGATCAGAGGTGTAGGAAGAGGTATCTCTTGTCAGGGAGGCAGCAGGAATTTAAGGAGAGTGGTCACAGTTAGGGTGGAAGAGGGTGATATCCAGGTAACAGGTGAGGACAACTCTTGAAGAAACTATGAATATGTCACAATGTGGGCCAAGACTGCACTCAGAGTTGGAGAAGGCTTCAAGAAGAACTAGGACAAGGGATTAGGAAAACTGACTTTTGAAAAGTGAAGTGGCCCTGGAGCAGGCCATAGCCTCCTTGTGGCTCATTTTCCTCATGTCCAAAATGAGCCAAATGGTCTTTTAGAGGCTGGATGTGGTGGCTCACTTTGGGAGGCCAGAACTTTCGGAGGCCAAGGAGGGAAGATCACTTGAGCCCAGGAGTTTGAGGCCAGCCTGGGCAACACAGTGAGACCCTGCCTCTACAAAGAAGATGTGGTACTAGACTGTAGTCCCAGAGCTAGGAAGGCTGAGCTGGGAGGATGGCTTGAGCTGGGGAAGTGGGGCTGCAGTGAGCCCTGATATCTCCACTGCCTCCAGCCTGGTTTGCAGAGTGAGACTCTGTCTTAAAAAATTAAAAAATAGCCCGGCATAGTGGCTCATGCCTGTAATCCTGGCACTTTGGGAGGCTGAGGCGGTGAATCACCTAAGGTGAGGAGTTCAAGACCAGCCTGGCTAACATGGTGACACCTCATCTCTACTAAAAATACAAAAAATTAGCCAGGCATGGTAGCGTGCGCCTGTAATCCCAGTTACTCTGGAGGCTGAAGCAGGAAAATTGCTTGAATCCAGGAGGCAGAGGTTGTGGTGAGACGAGATCGCACCACTGCACTCCAGCCTGAGTGACAGAGTGAGACTCCGTCTCAAAATAAATATAAAATAAAATAAAATAAAAATAAATCCCTCAAACAACAATAACAAAAACACGTAAATGGTCTCTTAAATTCCCTGGAAGTTGTAAGGACAGTAAGTACATGCCAGTACCTCCCTCTGTTGCTTGAGCTGTTCTCTGCCTGGAACTCACAGCCCTTCAGAAAGCCAGCTCCAGCGGTCAGCACAACACTTGGCACACTATATTTTCCATACCACTAAGCATCTATCATTTGGAGGGAGATGCTTGTCTTCCAGTCTTTGTACCCTGTAGGGCCCAGTGCAGGCTGGCTGGTGGCAACCTGGCCTCCAGGAATACTTCCTGGAATAGCAATGAATGGCGCTCTAGTCTCTTAGAAAGTCTTGGCATTCATGTCCATTTCAATTAAAAAAAAAAAAAAAAGAATTGCAGGAGATAGTCTAGTGAGCAGTGCAGGATAACGCGGTTCCTAGGTATGAACTCAGTTAACCCCACAGTCACATTATGAAGTGGATTATCCCCATTTCCTAGATAAGGAAAAAGGCAGAGATGTTAAGTAACTTGACCAAGGTCAACAGCTGGTGAGTGGGGAGCCAGGGTTTAGAAACCGGATTCCGGCTCTGTGCCTGGGCTGTGCCTGCTGCCCGCGGATGGCTGCTGGGGCGGAGAGGTTCGGAGGTTTCAGGGGCATTTTGTCCTTTCCCACTTCTGGGGCGTGGGCTCCCTCTGGACGATCCCGTCGGTCCTTCCTGCTCTGACACCCCCGGGTCTGGCTCCACTTCCACCAGCCCGCAGCTCAGCCGCGCGCCTCTCCAGCTCGTCGATGACCGGCTCCCAGCCGTGACCCAGGCCCTCCCTCAGAGCGCGCGCCGCCTGGGGTATCTGTCCCCTCGCGGGGGTGTCGCCGCCCCTCGGCGCCGCCAAACGCTAGCCGCTGAGCCCTGGCGCCCCTGGCAGGAGCACGGCGAGGACGCCTCCCTGGACTGCACCGCGGCCCTGCGCACCCGGGGCGGCGCTGCGGGGCGCGGGGGGCGGCGGGCCGGGCGGGCGCGCTGAGCAGACAGCTGAGGGACGCCGCTGAGGGCGCGGCGCGCGGGGCGCGGCCGGAGCGCCTTGAAGGGCCAGTGGCGAGGGGGCGCGGGCACTGCCGGAAGCTGGGGCGGGGCGCCCGGTGGGATGCGGTGAAGGGCGAGCGGCGAGGCGGCGGCGATGAGTGCCTCTGCGGCCACCGGGGTCTTCGTGCTGTCCCTCTCGGCCATCCCGGTCACCTATGTCTTCAACCACCTGGCAGCCCAGCAAGAGTGAGTGAGCGGGCGCGGCAGGGGTCGCGCCGAGGGGCGGCGGGAATTGGCTCCGCGCGGCGGGAGCCTAGTAACTTTTCCGAGGGGGTTGGGGCCGCCCGCCGCCGGGCAGAGGTTCGCGGTTGCAGGGGCTCCCCGCGCCCGGCCAGACGAGGGGCGCCCCAGGGGTCACACGAGCCGGGTCCTGGAGCCAGGCCCTGACGTGCCCAGGCTGGCGCAGTTCGGGATGTGGTGCCAGCACCGCGCCAGGTGCCCGAGGTCACGGGTCAATACGGCCATGCCCCTGCCCTGGAGGGGCACAGGGGCCGGTGGGGAGCGGAACGCACATGGACACTACGAGCCTGGCCGCCTCAGCTAGTGTGTGCCTTGTTCTTTTTGCATTCACGGGAACGTTTCCATGTATGGACTTTCGCATACTTATCATTTCTCATTAATTTTAGAAACTGTTGTGAATGACTAGCAGAAATAGCCCGAAACCAACAAGCAGAGACGTGGGTTCCAGGCCTGGCTTTGGCACTGACGTTGTGGTCTGGCCTCAGTTTTCCGGTCTGTCAAGTGGACTTTGTGTGCCTCCTATTGTAAGGCTCCACGGAGACCTGCTTGTGAAGGGGCCTCGTGAATGAAGAAATGCTTCCCCAGTGCCTACGCTGGGGTAGGATGGGGACAGGCAGCAGAGGGAGAGCACTTCAATGCAAAGGAAATGGGTGGGGCTGAGGGAGGGGGACAGGGCTTGGGTTCGAAGCCCTGCCTCCCTCTACTCTGCAGGGATCACTGACCAACCTGCAGTGGACAGCTGGAGGCCTGAGGGTCGGGGGTCGTTGGGACAGGCGCCAGCCTCTGTGCCTGCTGATGCTGGCTGGTGTCTGGAGGGAGGAGGAAGTAACCTGCTATGTTTCTCAGCCGTTGGTGCTAAGGAAATTGCATCAGTTTGTAGGCTGCAAACCCCCTTCGGCTGGTCAGGCCACAGAGTGTCTGTATATAGGGTGGTAACTTCCTCCTCTCTAGCTGCCAGGCCACCTGATCCAGGCAGCACCCACTGAGTGCTCACCAGGAACTGGCAGTGTCTGCCCTTGGTCTGACCCAGTCTCTGGAGGCATCTCCTGGAGGTAGCTGCTCTGGGCCACCGAATATTACATGCCTATCAATATAGTGTATGGGGACCCTATGCTCCTAAAAATAGCATTATGGACAGATCAGTGAATATATACTGAGTGCCTACTGTGTGCTTGGTATTGTTCCAAGTGTTGGTGACAGCTATGAACAAGCCAGAAGAGGTTGTGGAGTTAGGTATTGAGACAGACATCAACAAATATTAATACATAGATAGTAACATGCTATGAAGATAATAAAATAGGGTGACTGGGGAGGCAGCTGGTAGCCAGGGAAGGCTTCTAGGAGGAGGTGACACTTGAGCTTTGGGAAGACTGGGAATGGAGCTTGTCAGGCAGGGAAACGGAGTGGTGCAGGGGAAGGAAGTGGATGGGCGTAGTAGGTATTTTGGAGGGTGAACAGATGGGGCTTACTGAAGGGGGTTGCATGGCAGCAAAGAGAGGATTTGAGGATGAGCCCTAGGTTTTGGCCTCAGCCACTGGGAAGATGGTGATGACATTTACTGAATGCAGACTGAATTATGTATTGCTGTGCACGATGGTGGGCATTGCCAAGCACTACAGCGTTTTGAATCATTAGTGTCAGCCATTCTTCCTGTCTTCTTGCAGGTTAAAACCCCAGTGACCTTTGATTCCTCTCTCTTCTTTCTCCACAAGTCCTGGGGCTCTAGTGTCTATTCCCCACTTTCTGTTCTCCCTGGCATTGGCCCTCTCTGACCTGGACTGTGGTAAAGGCTCCCGTGCGAGTCCCCTCCCCCAGTCCCCTGAGTGTTTCTTGTCCTTGGCCCCTGGCCCCCGGCCCCAGCCCACACACTAGTGCTCCCGCCACACCAGCCTGCCTTTGCTCCATGACCACTCCTCCTCCTCTCCGGCCTCTAGCCCGGACTACTGCTGCTCCCTAACTGGGATGCAGCCTTCCTCCTATCACAGACTACTGAAGCCACACCTGGACTTTATGGCCCACTTGCACCTTTTGCAGACCCTCCCTCTTTGTCGTTCGAGCTCCCTCAGTGCCTTGTTTGTACCTTTCTCCTGAGAGTTACTTCCTTGTGGTCAGAACTTACCTGCCCTGGCTATTACTCACCTCTGTACTATCCTGCCCAGGCCCACGCCGTGTACATCGTAGGTACTCAGGTATGTTTGACGTTGTTGAGTTTCCTTCCCATCAAACCTTTTATGCCACTCTGAAAACCAGAAAAAGCAAATTAGATTGAGAGGTAAGGAAAGGATTGAGCATGTTCTGTCTCCCTGTTTCACTGAGAGACACACACTGCTCACACTAATCCATGCAGGTCCCCTCTCAGTAGGTGTCTGTTCACAGAAGGGTGTCAGCATTCTCTCCCACCCAAGGCTAGCAACTTTCTCATCCTGGGGTTAATGGCAGCCTGTACCTGTCCCCGAGTCCCCGCAGGACCTCTTTCTCCCTGTGATTAGCAGGTCCTGCCCTTGGCTATTGTAGGAGGGTCTCTGGGGATGGTGCCAAGAGTCAGAGACGATCTGCTGCCCCAGTTTCCTTTCATTCTTCCCTCCCCCCTGGAGCTGAGAGCATGAAAGGATGCTGTGAACCAGATTACACTGCTCTCTCCTGCTCCAGAAGAACATCAGCCACGCAGTCCTGCTGGCAGTGGGTGAGTGCAGGAGTGAGGACAGGAGTTGTCACCTGACCACCATCTGCTTCAGGCTGTTCACCATTAAAATGTCTGTCACCTGACCCAGCATAATCACCTCACGGGATTCTGCAGCCCAGCATCACACTCTTGACTCATAATGGCTTCCTCCTTCTTCAGCTCATCTCCACAGGAGGAGCCTGGAGCATGCACTGATGTACAATCACCAGAAACCTCTTATTTTTCAATTTCTTACCTGGACAATGAAATAGCCACCCTCATTCTTTTTTTTTTATTAAATTAATTTTTTTTTTTTTTTTTGAGACAGTCTTGCTCTGTCGCCCAGGCTGGAAGTGGTGCGATCTCGGCTCACTGCAACCATTGATCCCTGGGTTCAAGTGATTCTTCTGCCTCAGCCTCCTGAGTAGCTGGGATTGCAGGCATCTGCCACCTCACCCAACTTATATTTTTAGTAGAAATGGGGCTTGCCATGTTGGCCAGGCTGGTCTCGAACTCCTGACCTCAGGTGATCCGCCCGCCTCGACCTCTCAAAGTGTTGGGATTACAGGTGTGAGCCACTACGCCTGGCCTTCTCATTCTTATCATAGAATGAATCCACCTATCATTTATCCATCCATTCACCCATCATCCATCCAGTCATCCCTGATCCATCTAGTCATGCACTATCTATCCATTCACCCCTTATCCATCCATCCATTCATCTGTCATCCTCCATCATCCATTAGTTCATCTATCACCTATCCATCTATTCACCCATCATCTACCCATTCACTCATCATCCATCCATCCATCCATCATCTATCCATTCATCCATCATTGATCCATCCATTCATCCATCCATCCATCCATCATTTATCCATTCATCTGTCCATCATCCATTCATCCACCTTTATCCATTTATCTGTCCATCATCTATCCATTCATCCTTCCATCATCCATCCATACATTTATCCATCATAATCCATCCATCTATCCATCCATTCGTCATCTATTTGTTCCCCATTCCTTCCCTCCTTCTATTCTTCTCTTTCTCTCTCCCAGAGGATGGTGATAGTTATCCAAAGGTCCCAGTATTGGGCTATGGTGATGTTCAGGGGTCTCAGCTGAGGAGTGGTACTTGTAGCTACTTCAAGCTGAAGAGGTCCTGGTGTAGCAGGCCTTCGGAGTGGGCCAGGCAGTGTTTTTTCTAGAATTGGAAGCCCTGTCAGTCCTGGAGGGGTGAGAGCGAGAATATCTCTGCTGGACTGCAGGAGAACTCCTAGGTGGTAGAGCTGAGTCCGTTGAGATAGGTTCCTCCATGGAGGCAGGGACTTCTCTTGTTTCTCCAGTCTCCTAGGGCCTGAAACTGGCTGCCACATAGGGGTGCACAATACATTTTTTCCTTGATATGTTTTTGAATTAATTATTAAACAGATAGATGCAATGCTGTGCCTTTCCTAGGGTGACACAGTTACTCAGCAACAAATTGGGTACCAGGATCCTGGTTTCCTCACTGATAACTCTACCAAGCCTCATGCCCTAGTGCTGCCCCACTGGGTAGTGACCTTGGCCCCTGCTGTCCTTGGTGCCATTCCCTTTTCCTGTAGAACGTCCAGGGGATGTGCAAGCTTCACTTTGGTTCCTGTGGTTTGGGGTTGGATGCTGGTCTGTTGGCCCTGGTTATGGGGTGTTGGGCTGTCTTCATTCTGGCCTCAGCTCTAGCCCAGACTCTTCTCATCCATGGATTTCCTGGCCTCATTCTCTGGCCATTTGATTATACACATAAGGTCACTTCTTTCTTGTCCCTTGGAAGGCATGTTTAGGTGTATGCCTGTATGTTCCTTGGAGCTCAGTTTGAGGGTTTCTGACTGGCCCTGAGAGGGAGGTAGCAGAGTCTGTGGTGCGGCTTGTCAGCTGCTGGGGACCAGGGGTTAGAGGAACGGGTAGGTGGAGGTAGTGGGGCAGCGGCCATCTGTGCAGCAGGGTGGGGTGAGGCAGAAGGAGCTCCAGACACGTCATCTATGCACATGAGACAGGATAAGAGGAAAATGAGGGCCTGATGGCTCTGGTCCCTGAAAGTCATGGGCTGTGACCCAGACAGGCCAAAGAGCTGCAGAGAAGCTTCACTAACTCTCCAGTGCTAGGAGCTGCAGGCGGCGGCAGAATTATGGATGAATTATGCAGCACTAGGAGTGAATGCATTCAACAGTCAGGAAATTCCAGGCACCAATGTGTTTATTTTGTTAGTGACCACCTCCCTGTTCTGGTTGTTGCAGTTCCTGGACTATTGTAGGGGTTGCTGCCCTCATCCTGTTCCTGGTAGCCTTGTTGGCTCGTGTCCTCGTCAAAAGAAAACCACCCCGGGACCCGCTGTTCTATGGTATGTCTCCACAAAGGGAAATCTTTTGTGTCTGATTAATAACACAATACTTTTGGCCCCCAGTCACAAACTCCTCCTTGGTTGTGAATACTCAGAGCCCTTTGATAATGGTGGCTGCAAGTGTAGGGGAGTTTCAGGACAATGTGGCCCTTGACTCTGGCTATTGCTCCTCAGGCTGTGGACCCCACCCTCTTCTGGGTGGCATCCTGGTGGAGGGTTACTGCCAGGCCAGGCAGGGCACCCTGCCAACCCCAGCATGCTTTGACCTCTGATCTCTGACCTCAACTCTCATGCCAGCTCCTTCCTGGACTTCCTGTCTTAAGCCTGTTACTTGCAGTCTGCCCCCTCCCCCAACTTAGTGCAGAACTTAACTGTGTGGTACCTGTGCCTGCACATATGCATGAGGAAAATAACAGAATCTGCCATGGAGACAAGCACCTATAGTGCACCCTGTATGTCCCTGAACACTTTAGCAGCAGGCTTTTACCCCATCCTCACCATCCCTCCACTTGAAAGTGAAGAAGCTGGCTTGGAGATGCTAAGAAATGTGGCAAAGGTCGCATGGCTGTTGACCCCCAAAGCCTATGCCCTTCCATCCTGCATGCTGCTCCAGCCAAGCTGCTATGGGCCTTTGAATGCTTCCTGTGCCAGGCACTTTGCTGGGCATTTTGTTCTGTGGTTTCTCCTTCAGCAATGCCACATATCAAATGCCCCCCAAATCCTACAGCAACAAACATTTATTTTTCTTGCTCACAGGTCTGTGGGTTGGGGCCACTCTGCATCAGGCTGTGGGTTGGTTTCAGGGCTGTTCTCTGTCTCCTTGCTCCTGGACCAGCAGCTCCCAGGGCATGCCCTTCTCATGACAGACACAGAGGCACAGAGGGGCTAATGGGAAGAAAGCGGTGGCTCTTAAGGCCTTGGCTTGGAGCCACCCACTCTTATTCCCACCCATATTCCACTGGCTGAGACAAGGCATAGGGCCAAGCTGGTCATCAAGAGCCTAGGGAGCATTCTTTGCCCACAGTGGGCCTTGGCAAAGGTGGGGTGGGAAAGAAGAATTGTAACTAGTTTCTTCCAATCCATATATAAGAAACTCTGAAGTGGCCGGGCACGGTGGCTCGTGCCTGTAATCTCAGCACTTTGGGAGGCCAAGGCAGGTGGGTCACGAGGTCAAGAGATTGAGACCATCCTGGCCAACATGGTGAGACCCTGTCTTTACTAAAAATACAAAAGTTAGCTGGGCATGATGGCATGCACCTATAGTTCTAGCTACTTGGGAAGCTGAGGCAGGTGAATCACTTGAACCCGGGAGTCAGCGGTTGCAGTGAGCCAAGATCATGCCACTGCACTCCAGCCTGGCAACAGAGCGAGACTCCATCTCAAAAAAAGAAACTCTGAAGCTTATAGAAATGTTGTCACTTGCCTAAATTTTTGTAGGCAGGCAGTAGATGAGCTCGGTCCATCTGATTTGAAGGCCCACACCCCTTTTCCTGGCCCTCTCCACTGGTCTGTGCTCTGGCCCCTATGTACCTTCCCAGACGAGTCTCCTGCTGCTATCTGTCCCTCCTGTTCCTCCCGACTCCATGGAGCCTATACTAACTGTACTGATGTCTCTCCCTATTCTTCAAGGCTGGGCACCCTCAGCCCTCTGTCCTGGTCTGTTACAGCTTTGAGCACACTTCAGCCTCAGGGTCAGGCCCAAGGCCATACTCCTCACCCACTAGAAGGCAGAGACCATGTCCTTGTCATCGCTAACACAGTGTCTGACACTTGTGCTGGCATCAGCAATCATTGGGAGATTATGTGCCAAACACTTCCTTTCATGGGAGACGTACTAGTGAGGCTTCTGAAAAATGAGTATCAGGAAGTGGCACTGTCAGTGACAACTGAGCCAAAGCCCCCCAGTGGAGGCGTGGGGAAGCCACATCTGCAAGAGAGGGCAAATACAGCCTTTTGTTCCTTCTGGGGAGAATGTGAGTGCTGGCCTCCTGGCTGCCAACTCCAGGCAAGGCTGGCTTCCCTTCTCTGTGAATTACCCACCCCCACACTCCTCTCCATTTTTTTTCCACAGCTTTTTCTATATTCACCATCAGATTTTTCTACTGTCCATACCCACCTCATAGTCTAAGGCACCAATTTGTTACAACTTGAAAATGCAGCTTTGACAAACTAACATGCACTACATTTGATCATCTGCTGTTTAAAAAGTACTATTTCTTAGTTACTTATTGCTAGTAGTTTTAAGCCCATTTAGGAGACACTTACAACCTTAGTGAGATTCTCTGACAGGTACAGCTTTCCTTCTGTCACATTCAATTGTACCCTCTTGTATTCGTTTTTAACGTCACTAGTCTTTTTTGTGAAAGTCATTGTCACCTGCACATCAGCCACCTGTCTTTAGGATATGCCGTGTGGAATAGGGTAACCACACTGGACATGCTGAGAGTTAGCCTGCTTGGGAATCATTGAGATGAATCATTCCATATAAGTCATTGTCCTTTTTTTTTTTGAGACAGTGTCTCGTTCTGAATTGCGGTGGCACAACCTTGGCTCACTGCAACCTCCATCTCCTGGGTAGCTGGGACTACAGGTGCGTGCCACCCATGCCCGGCTAATTTTTTGTATTTTTCAGTAGAGATGGGGTTTCACTGTGTTAGCCAGGATGGTCTCCGTTTCCTGACCTCGTGATCCACCTGCCTCGGCCTCCCAAAGTACTGGGATTACAGCCGTGAGCCACGGCTGTAATTAGGCTGTGCCTGGCCTAATTTTTGTATTTTTAGAAGAGACAGGGTTTCACTATGTTGGCCAGGCTGGTCTCAAACTCCTAACCTCAGGTGATCCACCTGCTTCAGCTTCCCAAGTGCTGGGATTACAGGCTTAAGCCCCCGTGCCTGGCCAGAGTCATTGTCTTAAACTTGGTGGTCACTTCTATGCCTCCTTACTGGCTTTGCTCCCATTGCCCAGGTGGGATGTGGGTTTGGCTCTGGGCAGCCACTTGTAGGGGAGTGAAGGATGGGTGGAGCTGGCCTGCCAGAATCTTCTGTGACTGAGTTGGCAGTGACCATTGTTCTCCACTCCCATGATGAGCGTTCCCTTGATGAGAGTACCTAGGCAGGGATGGGAGAGCTGCAAACACAGGTGGAGGTCCAGCTGGGTGTGTAGAAGGGATATTCTGTTAGTCTATCTCGATAACTGTCCACAGCATCTTCTGGAAAACATAAAATTAACATTCCATTATTATTAGCTGATGCTAAGCTTGTAGTCATTGTCTCCTGAGCTATTACTTTTTAAACGGCTGCTTTCTTTGCTCTAGTGTATGCAGTTTTTGGATTTACCAGCGTGGTGAACCTCATCATAGGACTGGAGCAAGATGGAATCATTGACGGGTTCATGACACACTACTTGAGAGAGGTATGGGGGTCACGTAGCAATTATGAGGCTTAAACCAAAGGCCACACCCAGATTACATGACTCAGAGACTGAAGTCCTCTCATTTAGTGTGAACAGGTACGATATGCAGGCTTTCATTTCCTGTAATAGCCGTAGGTCGCTTATTCACATGGAAAGTGGAGCAGAAAGGATGGTTAGATCATGGGAGGCAATTCTCTCCAACCTTCAGCTCTCACGGCTTCTCTCACTCATGACTCCACACATGACCTACTTTTCCTCTTTATTTGTATTTAATATAAATAAGGTACCTTAAATGAATTTAGTATTTGTGTGTCTGTTAATACACGACTATCTCAGAAACCCCAAATCGGTCTTAAATTTGTAAAGTTCCAAACACACAGGCACTTAATGAAGTCATTTGATTGTGATGGTTGGCACTCCCCACCACACTGCTCAAATTGCAGCTTTAGATAGCTGCCTGGGTACTCGAGAGAGCTAATCCTATTTTCTTATTTTATGGTAGGCTGAACCCAGCCCCAGAGAGGTTAAGTGACTTACTCAAGGTCATATAGGAAATGAGGAGCAGGGCTCAAAGCAGATTTTTCCTCTATGTTCAAATAATGGGGAACTTGGTACGCTGTGGGAGTTTGGGTTTTATTCTGTTTGTGAGAGAAGATTTTGTCAATGAATAATACAGGCAGCTCTGGGAAGGATGGGCTTGCAGGGAAAGGTCCGTGTGATGAGCTGGGGCACCAGTCAGGAGGCTTCCTCGGGACCAGCAGGGGCATAAACGTGACCAAGCAGAGGCAGCGCATGGGAAGTAGAGAGAAGGATGAACTTTAGAGAATCGGAGTGGCTAGAATGAGTAAGACTTGGGGACAAGTTGGGGATGATGATAAGGGTGAGGCCTAAGACAATGTCCTGATTCCTACTTTGGAGTTTGGAAGACTGCAGCTGTTTATACACCAGAGAGAGATGAGAGGAGGAATTTAGTTCTGCAGACATTTGTTGAAGGGGACTCTAGGGTCAGAAGACCTGCTCCCAGCAAGCCACAAGATCAGCATGAATTATTAAGACCAGCCACTGGCTCTGGAAAGCAGGATCGCCCCTGGCCACCTCTTTGGTCATTGCCAAGGATCTTTTGTCAAAGATTTGGCTTGGTCTCCATGAGTTTACTGTACAGCCAGGATGCCATCCAGGAGCTCCCTGCTTGATATGGTAGGGAGATGGTATTGTCCCAGTGCAGTGACAGAGACTCACTCCAGGCACAGAAGTACACGGAGGAGAAATTAAGTACACAGAGGAGGCATTCTGGAGAGAAGGGACAGTTTGGGCAAAGGCTTGGAGAGGAGAAAGAGCATGTGCCTCCCCTGGGGCACCAATCTGCAGGGGTGAGGCTGAGTTTCTATGGGGAGGTGGAGTTTCAGATGCTGGCAGGGCTTTGCAGGTCTTGAGCTCTAAGTAGCAGTCCTGGCAGACAGAGGAGCCATCTGAGCACAGTTGGTACCTGAAGGTCTGAGAGGAGAGGGGCTTGCCTATGGGAAGGTAGAGAGAGAATAGGGTTGAGGTTGGGACTTTAGAGACCATGGCCAGAAGAAGAAAAGCCTCTGAAGTGGACTATGGGGGACAGGCAAAGAGGCAGAAGGAAAACCTGGAGAGTGGGGGCCACGGAGCCCAGAGGAGGGAGGTTTCAGGAAGGAAGTGATTGACGAGAGGGCTGGAGGCTGAGTTGGCAAGGGTGGTAACCATTGGGACAGATGGGGTACCAGAAGGGGAACTGGTCTGTCACTCTGGTGGCAAGGTCTGCAGGGTCAGGCTCTGGGGACCCAGCTGTAATAAGAGAGGAGATGGGACTTTGTTCAGCAGGCTGTGAGAAGTTTTGGGAGTTTTAGAGTAGGGGAGCGACATGCCAAGAGCCAGGCCTTGAGAATCTTCAGCTGGCAGCAGGAGTGTCATGGGCTGGAAGGAAGGAAGAGAGGTGGGGGGCCATTTGGGAATGTAGCCATGGTCCTCTGAGGGCTAGATCTAATGCTGTGAAGAATAGGGAGAACTGCCAGGGTGACATTGTAGCAATAAAATTGATAGATTTGCTGAAAGACTTGATAGGAGAATGAGGAATGAAAAAACGACCCCGTGGTTTTGACCTTGGTAAGTTGAATGGCATCACCATTAATACAGAGAGACCATGGCTGGCATGGTGGCTCATGCCTGTAATCTCAGTGCTTTGGGAGACAAAAGTGGGAGGATCACTTGAGGCTAGGAGTTTGAGACTGCAGTGAGCAATGATTGCACCACTGCACTCTAGACTAGGTGACAGAGCGAGACCCTGTACACACATACACACACGCAGAGAGAGAGAGAGACAGAGAGACAGAGACAGAGAGAGAGAAAGAGACAGAGAGAGTGGGGGGGCAAGGTGGACAGCTGGTGAGGGGAGAAGCTGATGAATTAAGAGTTCAGGCAAGTTGAAAGGGCCTGTGGACCATGCAGTTAAAGATGCCCATCAAGCCACCAGGAGAGGATGGCACTGGCTCTGAGAGCCAGGTGTGTTAGCAATGGAAGACTGAAACCATAAATCAGATGTATTCTTCAGTCAGAGCAAGTCTGAGAGAAAGGACGGGGGATGGACATGGGTATAGAAGCAGAACCTTGACTCTGTTTCCTGCTCCTTTGTGATTTTAATTTGATTTGATCTGGGAGAGGTGACGGAGCAGTCCCTGCCCCAGGGGAGCATGAAACTTGAGAGGAAGCCCTGCTTGCTTGGCTGATTGATGGGCTGGTTGACCTGCAGTCTTCCTTGTAGAAAGGACTTAAGGCATCCTACGGCATGAAAAAGCCAGGACAGCATGAGCGTGGGAGAAAAAAGGAAGGAAAACAAGGTGGGGCCAGAACAACAGTAAAAATGCACGGAAAATTGACAGAGACTTTTTAGGAGCCACCTGAAAATGTAACCACCTAGAAAAGGGAAATGTAGTTCATCATATAAGCTTGTGTTCATAACATTAACATTTTCCCAGGAGAAGTATGGCTCTTCTTGGTCTGTTAGATATACTAGATACGTGACCTTAGGCAAGTCTTATAATCCCTCAGGGCCTGTTTCCTCAACCATAAAATGAATTGTTGGGAAGGTGGAATGAGGGGTTGGGTGTGAAGCTCTGAGTGCAGTGCCTGCCTGCCTATGTGTTGGTATGTGGGGAATGAGTGCTGTGCCATGCCTAGCCCAGCAAGCCACAGGATCAGCATGGATTATGAAGGCCAGCCACTGGCTCTGGAAAGCAGGGTCATCCCTGGCCACCCATCTGGTCATTGCCAAGGATATTTTGTCAAAGATTTGGCTTGGTTTTCATGAGTTTGCTATATAGCCAGAATTGCCTATCATCTGCCTTCACATCACAGTACAAACCTATGTTGATGCATCATAGGCCAACTGGCCAGGTGTTCACTAATTCCATCCTCTGTGGCCACCCCTGGTTTTGGTAGCTCCAGTGTAAAGTTGTATTTTCACATTCCTACCAATTCTGTAGAAGTAGTTTCCTCTTAGCAGATGAACACAAGTTAGTTCTGCTGTTTTATTTTACTTGCAATACAGGTCTGATGTTCTGCATTTACATGTCTTATTTAAAGTGGACTTCTTTTTAATACTTTCTTCAGGGTGAACCGTATCTGAACACTGCATATGGGCACATGATCTGCTACTGGGATGGCTCTGCTCATTATCTGATGTACCTGGTGATGGTGGCAGCCATAGCATGGGAGTAAGTCAGTTCACCTGGTGTGTGCCTTTGCCACCTTAGCAACCGATAAGCGGGTATGTAAGGAAACGTTATGCATAGAGGCAAATACACAAGCAGGTATACTGGACATGAATGTAGGTTCCATGGGTACACATCAGACGTGGCTTTATCCTCCTTGTACCACTGCCTTTTGAATATGTCCCTTTGAATTGCTCCCCAACATGGTGACAGTTCAGACAGACCCTTTAAGTTTTCTGATTGCCTTACAAGAATAATTTTATTTTCAGCAATTAAAGCCAAGCACATCTTAACTTCTAAAATGTCAAAATTTCCAAACTGCAATCTCATTTGGGTTCACAGCTTCTGTCCTTCCCCCAGTTCAGGCAGAGCTCTGCGGCTTGGCCTGCACTAAGGCTGGGCTACATGGCCTGTCCTTTCACTCCTCTCAGCTAAGTGCACCTGGTCCCTTGGGAGTGCACATGTATGTACTTGGGATTAAAGGAACAGGGCAGTCTTATGTGAAGGTGCTGGTTTTGGGTATTGGTACCTCCATCATGGTATGCTAGCTTGGTCTTGGGAGGCACACGTGTGGGTTCCTTAGAGACCCAACCACAGGAGTTTTTGCATTGCACTAATCCCTGAAGTGAACATGCTCCTGGGCTGAATTTCTGCCCATGGTGGCACAGCCACAGCTTTTTTCTGCTGGGGTCCTGAAACCCAGAAGGTACACCCTTTGGGGAGGGATCCTTTCAAAACGTTTCAAGTCCAGCTCCATGTTCCAGAAAGTTATGCATTCTTGCCCCATACAAGGTTGAAATGCAGTGTAACCAACTGTCTCCCTCACTCCCACCATGCACTCAAGTTCAGCTCCAGCTCGTTTTTTTTGAGAGTTTCACTCTTGTCTCCCAGGAGGGAGTGCAATAGCACAATCTCAGCTCACTGCAACCTCTGCCTCCCAGGTTCAAGTGATTCTCATGCCTCAGCTGGGACTACATTTTGTATTTTTATACCCGCTAATCTTGTATTTTTAGTAGAAACAGGGTTTTACCATGTTGGCCAGGCTGGTCTCGAACTCCTGACCTTGGGTGATCTGCCCGCGGGTGGACTCCCTGCTGGGATTACAGGCATGAACCACTGCACCCTGGTTCCAACTCATTCTTGTCTGTCTTCCTACAGTCCCAGTCATTGTGAATGGGCCTCTTGGGGTCCCCTTACATTTGGCTTGAAGGCTGGGGTGGGGAAGGAAGCATATAGTATTGTTTTCCTTCAGATAATCTCCTTTTAAATTTCCCCTAGCCTGTTACATAGTGTGGAGTTGGGCTATTGGGGTTGGGGTTATTAATTTAAGTAACTTTTTTTTTTTGAGACGGAGTCTCACTCTGTTGCCCAGGCTGAATCTTGGCTCACTGCAACCTCTGCCTCTGGGATCAAGCATTTCTCTTGCCTCAGCTTGCCGAGTAACTGGGATTACAGGTGCATGCCACCATGCCCAGCTAATTTTTTTTTTTTTTGAGACAGAGTTTCGCTCTTGTTACCCAGGCTGGAGTGCAATGGCGTGATCTCGGCTCACCGCAACATCCGCCTCCGGGGTTCAAGCAATTCTCCTGCCTCAGCCTCCTGAGTAGCTGGGATTACAGGCACGCACCACCGTGCCCAGCTAATTTTTTGTATTTTTAGTAGAGACGGGGTTTCACCATGTTGACCAGGATGGTCTCGATCTCTTGACCTTGTGATCCACCCGCCTCGGCCTCCCAAAGTGCTGGGATTACAGGCTTGAGCCACAGCGCCTGGCTTTTTTTCGGTATTTTTAGTAGAGATGGAGTTTCATCAAATTGGTCAGGCTGGTCTTGAACTCTTGACCTCAAGTGATCCGCTTGCCTTGGCTTCTCAAAGTGCTGGGATTACAGGTGTAAGCCACCATGCCCAGCCTGAAGGAACTTTCTGCCAGCATTGAAGATTAGGGGTATATGTCTAGCAGTCACCTTTGGGGCTTTGGCCAAAATTCTGTGATCCCAGGAAAAGTCCATTTAACATCATCATTGTAAGTATGACTGATACTTACAATGATTTAAGATATGGATCCAATTTCCTTTCTTCTTTCAACTTTCTTTTTCCTTTCATGCTGTTTCACACAGAATAGAGAAATGCAGGAGTCCTGTGGCAGGGATGATCATGCTGTAGTTTAACAGAAGACATAGCAGGCACAATTTCCTATTTAAAAGGACACGAAGAAGGTTCTATAATATATCACATGGCAATGAAGTTAGATAACCAGGGTTCCTTGTGTTTGATTTATTCCTCTCGATTCAGCAAGTTTTGATTCATGTACTTTACTAGTTTGAATAAAAAATAATATTGAGGATAATTTTTTTGCTTAATATTCTAAGACAAGCATACCAAGATTTTTTTGTTGTTGTTGTTATAGGGAAAGTTACAGAACCATTGGCCTATATTGGGTTGGATCTATTATTATGAGTGTGGTTGTTTTTGTGCCAGGAAACATTGTAGGTAAGAAACTTTATCTTAAAGTTCACTTTTCTTTTTCTAAAACAATGGGGCTTATTTTTAAATGGAGAAGCTCTCTTGGTTATAGTAGAATCAAGTGATTCCAAGCTTACCAAAAACCAGTTTTGCAGAATAATTCCTTTTTCTCACCTTTTAAAAAATGCCTTTTAAGAAGTGCTTTTCAGCAATTTTCAGAAGCGTGCATTGAACAATTTGGCAGTCAAGTATCAGGGATTCCTGTTTTTAGAACGATCTTCAGGGAGTGAATATGGTGTTTATGGCTATATTTAGCATGCTAGTATGTAACTCCTGACACATTGTGAGAACTCCAAAAATGTACTTGGATATTACCTTTTTTTTTTTTTTTTGAGACGGAGTTTCGATCTTGTTACCCAGGCTGGAGTGCAATGGCACCATCCTGGCTCACCGCAACCTCCGCCATCTGGGTTCAGGCAATTCTCCTGCCTCAGCCTCCTGAGTAGCTGGGATTACAGGCACGCGCCACCATGCCCAGCTAATTTTGTGTATTTTTTAGTAGAGACGGGGTTTCACCATGTTGACCAGGATGGTCTCGATCTCTTGACCTCGTGATCCACCCACCTCGGCCTCCCAAAGTGCTGGGATTACAGGCTTGAGCCACCGTGCCCGGCCAGATATTACATTATTAATGTATGCAGGAAATCAGGATATTATATAGATATATACAAGCATATATAGATACCTATCTAGATGTATTTATTTTTTCTCTGTTGCCCAGACTGGAGTGCAGTAGCATGATCTTGGCTCACTGCAACTTCCACCCCCCCGGGTTCAAACAATTCTGCCTCATCCTCCCAAGCAGCTGGGACTACAGGCACCCACGATCATGCCTGGATACTTTTTTGCATTTTTTTTTAATAGAGATGGGGTTTCACTATATTGGCCAGGCTGGTCTCAAACTCCTGAAATTGTGATTCATTCGCCTTGGCTTCCCAAAGTGCTAGGATTACAGATGTAATTTTTTTTTTTTTTTTTGAGATGGAGTTTCTCTGTTGCCACCCAGACTGGAGTGCAATGGCACGATCTCGGCTCACTGCAACCTCCGCCTCCTGGGTTCAAGCAATTCTCCTACCTCAGCCTCCTGAGTAGCTGGGACTACAGGCGCACACCACCATGCCCAGCTAATTTTTGTATTTTTAGTAGAGACAGGGTTTCACCCTGCTGACCAGGATGGTCTCGATCTCTTGACCTCATGATGCACCTGCCTCAGCCTCCCAAAGTGCTGGGATTACAGGTGTGAGCCACCGCGCCCGCCTTAGATGTATTTTTTGAGACAGGATCTCACTCTGTTGCCCAGACTGGGTTGCAATGGTACAGCCATAGCTCACTGAAGCCTTGACCTCCTGGGCTCAAGCAGAATATTATATTAAATATGCTTTTAAAATACTGTAGATAGGACATGCCTATTAATATATAGTATTTTAAATTAACCTTTTAAATTTGGCCTCATTAAAAATATTGTCTGGCCCATAGCAAAATTTTACATGACTTGAGAAGGGGAGGTATCTTAAATATTACTTGTGTTAGATATGCTTTTGGTAACTTCTTTCTCTTTCTCTCTTTTAAATAGGGAAGTATGGAACACGAATTTGCCCTGCTTTTTTCTTAAGCATACCATATACTTGTCTTCCTGTCTGGGCTGGTTTCAGAATTTATAATCAGCCATCAGAAAATTATAATTACCCCTCAAAGGTGATTTTATTTTTGATGTACCCTGTTTTCAAACTCATAGGGTTTACTCATATCCACTGGCCCATGAACTGTGCCTCTGTGGATTGTAGCATCTGGGGCATCCAAACAGTGTGACTGTTTTGATTATGTAGCATTAATTTACTTACATTTTAGTTAATGTGGGCGAGAAGATCTGTTTCTGTCTGAATATATGTGCTTCTGTTGGCAAGGCCATACTTTGGGGAGCTTCCTGTGCCAGTGCTCACACTGGCTCTAACCATCACATTCTGCATTAGTGTGTTGAGTGAAGTCCATAGCGTGTGGTTTGTCTAGGATTGCTAATGGCCTGGATTTTGAGCACGTGGGGTCCTTTGTGATACCTATTCATTTACTGCCCCAAGAGGACACTGGAGGGACACTGCTCCTCAAGGCAGTCCACATAGCCATACAATCTTGACTCCAGGGATCCAGGCCCACGGAAACTGGCTACAGGACATCGAGACACCTCCCTTCCATTCACGGCCAAGGTGGTCAAGGTGAAACAATACTGGCCTGGCAGATACTCTGTTTAGGTCTTCGTTTCTAAGTTAGTTTCTCTATGTTTCTTTTCCTTTTCTAGGTATTAGGTCATTTAGCAAGATCTTTTAAGCAAAACTGATATATGAAGATACGAATTACTGGAGATACTCAGAATACGACTATTCATTTTACAAAAGATTTTCAATAGAATTCATTGAAATACATTTTAATTGACAAATACTTCATCTGTAAACATTTATACACCTGCTATGTTAACTCAGGCTGACACACCGACAGCTGGTACTGTCTTACATTCTGCTGAGGAAAGAGGTGGCTGTTAAAAAGAAAGCAAACAGTCCATCCTTAGTCCTGGCTCTACCACTTCTGAAGGCTCCATATCAGTGTGTCAACAGAGTAGGTATGCCATGAGGCATGCAGAACTGCTTATCATTATTTTTAATGTGAAAACACAGTGACAGCCAGGGCCAAGCAGGGCACTGTCATACAGTACTGACAGGAAAATAAATTCAGAATTGCTCTGCAAAGCAATTTGACAATGTTATCAACCTTAACAAATTTAACCCTGGAACCCAATAATTCTGCTTCTAGAGCCCTATCCTCAGGAAATCCTCACACAGATACCACCAAAGATTTACATACAAAGTTGTTCATCATTACATTAAGTCTAACAGTAAAAAAATGCCTAAATATCCAACAGTGGGAGAATAGCTAAAGTGTGTTGTTTTCATATGGTATTCAGTTTTAGAAAATTTTTAATCATGTAGGAGAGTTTATAATATAGGTAGATATAGAGGGCAAAAAAGAACAAATACAGATTTGTTTATATACTAAGTCCTGCTTTTGTGAAAAACATGTATGTGTGTATATATGTATGTATGTAGAGAGAGAGTGTGTATGTGTGTGTGTGTGTGTATGTATCTACATGTATTACCGGAAAAGTATACCCAACGGTTAATAGTGGTGTGGCAGGTTTATGGTTTATTTTTAAAATTTCTTATCATTAAAATGTCATTTTAAGAAAAAATGTGGACTCATAGAGCTACAGGGGCCCTTCGAGAGATCATTTGGCCCAAACTTTTCATTTCACAGATAAGGAAACTGAGACTTGAGGAGGGAAATGATTTTCCTAAAGTTCCATGGCCAGTAATTTATGATATAAATTGTGAACCTTTAAAATTCTCTTATCCATCATCATGACATTTAATGTTTCAGATTTCAGATTCTTCTTTGACACTTTGGGCCTGCTCTTTAGGTATCAACTCTATTTTAGGTTATTCAAGAAGCCCAAACAAAAGACCTGCTGAGAAGACCATCTGATTTAGTGTTTGTCGTGTGTCTCCTCCTTGCAACTGGATTTTGCCTGTTCAGAGGTTTGGTAAGCATAACAGATCATGATAATGTAACACTGTGAAACTATTCATATTTCCAAATGGAAAAAACTTAGAAATATGTTTTTGTTTTTCCATCAGACTTCTTAGCAAACTGACAAACCATTCCTCTCATCAAAGCCTGAAGCCCCGCACTTGCTTCCTGCTGCTCCCGACCCCAGCCTCCTGCTGTCACCTCCGCCCATCCTTAGATCAAGCTCTACTCAGAAGCATCTTCCTCTAGGTTTTAGGGCATTTAAAAAATCAGCCATCAGAGTTCCCTTCTTTTTTATTCCTTTGATGTTTCTGACCCCAGCCTCCTGCTGTCACCTCCTCCCATCCTTATATCAAGCTCTACTCAGAAGCATCTTCCACCTGGTTTTAGGGCATCTAAAAAATCAGCCATCAGAGTCCCCTTCTTTTTTATCCTTTGATGTTTCTGATCCCAGCCTCCTGCTGTCACCTCCTCCCATCCTTATATCAAGCTCTACTCAGAAGCATCTTCCTCCTGGTTTTAGGGCATCTAAAAAATCAACCATCAGTCTCTCTCTTTTTTTTTTTATTCCTTTGATGTTTCTGATTTAAATGTAAATATCTTTGGTTAACGATGGCACCCTAGGACTGCAGTACAACTGTGGCACAGAGCATCCCTGGGCTCTCAGGAGTAGGGGCGATGGGACTGAGGAAGGCATACCAGATCAACAATTCACATGTATGTAGGGTCGTGAGAATGTCTCAGTGTTAAGAATAGTGTTGAGTAAATTCAGCTCAGGCCTGGAGTCTGCATTGATGTGACTGAAATACATTAAAGGCATGTGAGCATTTCATGTTTTCTATTTTCTCTTTATTAATATTTTACTGCAGAGATTGGGAAAAAGACCCACAGGCTTTGGAGTTAGAATTCTGGCCATTTACTAGCTGTGTGGCCTTGGAAAAACTACTTAATCTCTTTGACTCTGTCTTCCTCTCTGTAAAATAACATTACCTACTACATTATTGTTTTGGAGATTAAATAATGTATATCAAACACTTGGTAGAGGGTCTTATACATAGTAAATGATTACTGTTAGCTATTTTTATTCATTAGTGATCCTTCACAATACCCCAGTTTGATGATTTCTTCTTAGTAGAAATAAATTTAGGAAGTTTAGAATTATATTGTTAATTATATTAAGCTTCAGTGACAATTACTATTCTAAGCCTTGTGGTGTTACATAACAGTTGGGGAGTGGCAAGTGTAAGCCCATGTGGGTGACTTATTATTTCAGGGTCCTTGGGCTATCAGGGGCCTGTGCAGCTGGTTGGGTTCAGGGACAATAAGCTGTTTTAAGAGTTATTTTTATCTGTGGAATGTCAGAAACTTTCTGGAGGAGAGCTGGCTCACAGGAGGAGTACAGGGAAGAGAAGTACAGAAGGCAAGGCCATAGCTTTGCTGAGACCATAGGGCCACTGAAATTGTTCTTTGGTTAGTTTGTTGTAATTCTTAAAGTTCGACAACAAAAAATAGTGGGCCCCACTCATATTCTTGCACAGCCATATCCCCTTCCCTGTGCACATGAGAAAATGTGTGCATGTGTGGGTGTGCATGCATGGTGGGTAGGGCTTTTGCAGATGGGCTTTTGGATTGGGGCTATTTTTACCAACTCTGCCACTGTCCTGTGTTCATATATGCTAACATTTATGGCCAAAGACATGAGGAATGGTGCCTGAGGGGAGGAAGGTGACTCAGAGGGGACATAGTAAGGTGCCAAAGAGACTTCCGGGCAAGAGGACCCTGCTTTCAAATCATTAGCTTTTACTGCCTCCAAAGGCCATAAACTCTATGAGGCTTTGGAGAGAGGAAGGTGCTATTTTCAAATCTTGCAAAGCAGAGTAAGATGAATTGGGTGTAGAAATATAATTTTCTTTCTATAGGGAATAGTGAGCTAGTTATTTCCAGGAAAAGTGAAACTCATAATTTAAAGCAAGCTGTGCTTTGGCTGGCCAAACCTAGATACTTAAACTCTGAAAGGTACCCAAGAATAGAGCATCACTTTCCATTTCCCGCACCATAATGAACCTCAGCTTAACTTCCTTAAGAGTAAATCTGCAAAATATTCCCTTCATTGATGGACCTCTACAATGCATACATTTTGTTAAACAGCAAAGCAACTTGTGACTAAACCTGGCACATTTAGTCTTATCAGCAAACATAAGAACCAGATGTGATTGTATTTTTATAATTTTTTTTTTTTTTTTTTTGTTCTTAGATTGCTTTGGATTGCCCATCTGAGCTCTGCCGATTATATACGCAATTTCAAGAGCCCTATCTAAAGGATCCTGCTGCTTATCCTAAAATTCAGGTCAAGTACTTATGAAGCCTGAGATTTTTCTAAAATTAGTTTTCTTTTAAAAAATGAGTCCCATATAGGACATAGGAATTAATATTTTCAAAGACAAAAATGTAGAGAAATGCAAATCAAAACCACATTGAGATACCATCTCACGCCAGTTAGAGTGGCGTCCATTAAAAAATCTGGAGAAAACATGCTGGAGAGGATGTGGAGAAATAGGAACACTTTTACACTGTTGGTGGGAGTGCAAAGTAGTTCCACCATTGTGGAAGACAGTGTGGTGCTTCCTCAAAGACCTAGAAATAGAAACTCCATTTAACCCAGTAATCCCATTACTGGGTATATACCCAAAGGATTATAAATTGTTCTATTATAAAGACACATGCACACATGTTTACTGCGGCACTGTTTACAATAGCAAAGACCTGGAAACAACCCAAATGCCCATTGATGACAGACTGGACAAGAAAAATGTGGCACATCTACACCATGAAATACTATGCAGCCATAAAAAACGATGAGTTCGTGTCCTTTTTAGGGACATGGATCAATCTAGAAACCATCATTCTCAGCAAACGGACACAAGAACAGAAAATCAAACACCACATGTTCTCACTCATAGGCGGGTATTGAACAATGAGAAAACATGGACACAGGGAGGGGAGCATCACACACTGGGATCTGTTGGGGGGAACAGGGGAAAGACAGCGGTGGGTGGGGAGGTTGGGGAGGGATAACATGGGGAGAAATGCCAGATATAGGTGACGGGGGGATGGAGGCAGCAAACCACATTGCCATGTATGTACCTATGCAACAATCCTGCATGATCTGCACATGTACCCCAGAACCTAAAGCACAATAAAAAATAGGTTTAAAAAGATAATAAGATAAAATAAAATAATCGATGCAAAAAAATGTTTATTTTTTTGTATTTCTTAGGCCAAGTCAACTGCTAATTTGCTGATGATGTTATTTCTCTGTTCAATACAGATGCTGGCATATATGTTCTATTCTGTTCCCTACTTTGTGACTGCACTGTATGGCTTAGTAGTTCCTGGATGTTCCTGGATGCCTGACATCACACTGATACATGCTGGAGGTCTGGCTCAGGTACTAAGACTATTCTGTTGAGATTTACTTGTGGTCTAGCTGTCATTGCTGAATATATGAAAAACTTCTCTGCTCAATGTTTCAGAGTAGGAAGTAGCTATTAGACATGTCACCTTTTGATCTGCAGTTCTTTGGAAGACATTTCTCCAAGTACATTTTATTTATTTATTTATTTATTTATTTATTTATTTATTTATTTATTTATTTATTTATTTATTTTTTGAGACAGAGTTTTGCTCTTGTTACCCAGGCTGGAGTGCAATAGCGCAATCTCGGCTCACCACAACCTCCACCTCCTGGGTTCAGGCAATTCTCCTGCCTCAGTCTCCTGAGTAGCTGGGATTACAGGCACGTACCACCATGCCCAGCTAATTTTTTGTATTTTTAGTAGAGATGGGGTTTCACCATGTTGACCAGGATGGTCTCGATCTCTTGACCTTGTGATCCACCCGCCTCGGCCTCCCAAAGTGCTGGGATTACAGGCTTGAGCCACCGCGCCTGGCCGTACATTTTATTTAAATCTTACAGTAACTATATGGTAGATGTGCCATCCAGTTGCACAGATGAGGAAACTGAGGTCCAGTGAAGTGTCCAAAGTTTAATGCCCAGCACACGACATTGTTGTTTTATAGGACTATTTCACAATCTCTGAATACCATGGTTACTAAAAAAGTATTGAGAGCTGTCATCTTCAAAATATCCATCCAAATTTAAGACATCAGAATTCCACTATACTATGCTATATAGAACTAGGAAAACTGGTTTAAAAAATATTCTGGGCCTGTCATTCGATTCATTTCCCACTGGCACCTAGCCAAATACTTGGCCCAGAGTAGGTGCTCAGTAAATGTTTACTGCATTGAACTGAAAATGAAATTATCTATGGAGAACTTCACATATAACATAAAGCACATTTTTAAACAAGAGAACTAGGAAAACAAATCAATCTTCTGAACAACGAAGAAAAGTAAGTAATTTCATCATTTTTTCCTACTAGAGATAAAACAAATAAACTTATCATTTAAAAACATTAGCTTCATCTTGGTCTTTTCAAACAGTTTTAAGAATGAGGTTCATCCAGACACTGTAAGCTTGTACAGTCAATTATATGCATGGTATAATAACCACGATCACAAGACATAATAGGATTCACAGGGTTGAAAAATATAGTATTTAAGGGGTCAATGCATAAATCCTTTCAGTTTGAGGTAATTATTTATAAAATTAGAATATTAGTATCAAAAAAGTTGATGTAGCATCCAGAAGTAATCGTTCCTGTCCTTTCCTTGAGGGGCTTAAGGAGGAAGAGAACTAACATTTACTGCCCTTTGCTGGTTGCTTTTCCTTTGCAGCCCTCTGAATACCAGATTTCTCAGTCTTTGGGCTTTATTTCTGTATTTTAGGTCTTTATTTTTGTATCTTTCAATACCAACTATAAGCTGATGACTTCCAATTTTCTACCTTCAGCCCAAACTGCTCCCAGACTCCTGTATTTAATTCCAAACTCAGTGTTTTTACTTGCATGTCTCACTAGCATCTCAGATTTAATGTATAAAGTAGGACCTGATCTCCCCACAAATTCTCTTCCATTTTTTCTTTAGCTGTATAAATAGCCCAATTGCATCTAGCAACTCAAGCCAGAAACTTGGAGTAATCCCGAGTAGCTGGGATTACAGGCATGTGCCACCACGCCCAGCTAATTTCTGTATTTTAAGGGATGGGGTTTCACCATGTTGGTCAGGATGGTCTCGATCTCTTGACCTTGTGATCCGCCCACCTCGGCCTCCCAAAGTGCTGGAATTACAGGCGTGAGCCACTGCGCCAGGCAAAACCAACCAACCAGCCAACCAATCAAAAACTACCTAGAGTACAGGCTAAGGAAAAGAAGTCATGCTGCAACTAAACAATGCATAAGATCTGAATACTGAATTAGTTATGTGATGTTTTGTACTTAGCAAATACTTGCTTATGAAATGGAGTCTCCTCTTAGGGGAGTATCTGACACATTCATCACAGAAAGCACTTTCCAGCCAAGTGTGGTGGCTCATGCCTATAATCCCAGCACTTTAGGAGTCCAAAGTGGGTGGATTGTTTGAGGTCAGGAATTTGAGACCAGCCTGGGCAACATGGTAAAACCCCAGCTCTACAAATACAAAAATTAGGCTGCATGATGGCACGTGCCTGTAGTCCCAACTACTAGGGAGGCTGAGGTGGGAGGATCACTTGAATTCCGGAGGCTGAGGTTGCAGTGAGCCAAGATTGTGTCACTGTACTCTCCGGCCTGGGAGAGACCCTGTCTCTCTCCCCACCCCCAGAAAAAAGGCACTTTCTGTCAACTTCCATCAGCATCTTTGCTTGCTAAAATTGCCATTCTTATTTAGAAGCCTTATGCATTCATGATCCCACTAACTGTACTAAAACGTACTTTTATTGAAACATCTAGTGAACTCTCAAGAGTCTACTTAACTTAGTAAGAAAAAAAACTTTGAAAAGTTCTTCATCAGTATAGGCCAATGGAAGAAATACTGAATAGTGGCCGGGCTCGGTGGCTCATGCCTGTAATCCCTGCATTTTGGGAGGACAAGGTAGGTGGATCACCTGAGATCAGGAGTTTGAGACCAGCCTGGCCAACATGGTGAAACCCTGTTTCCATTAAAATGCAAAAAAATTAGCCAGGTGTGGTGGTAGGCATCTGTAATCTCAGCTACTTGGGAGGTTGAGGCAGAAGAATCGCTTCAACTGAGGAGGTGGAGGTTGCTGCGAGCTGAGATCGCGCCATTGTACTCCAGCCTGGGTAACAAAGCGAGGCTGTCTTAAAAAAAAAAAAAAGAAATAGTGAGTAGTTATTGGGTTCCTGATTTCAGACCATGTAATGCAGGAGTCTGCCAAATCTGCTGCCTTCAGAATCAAAAGATCAAGGAAAGAGTAAAAGACTGAATAAAATGAAACCAGGACACATTTTAGACCAGAGTTCCACTGGGGATTTACTAATAACCCGGCTATCTCTTCATACAAAATGTTAACCATAGGATTAAAGCTGCAAGCGTAATTTGAAAGGCATTATAGGCTGCTTAGATCCACTTATTAGCATTTCCTATCAATTGAAGCATTTTCTCTGCTAAAATATCACTGAAAAAGAAAAAAAAAGTTAGAGCCAGTAGAGTTCATATGGTTAGGAGCATAAGTTCTGGAGGTGGACTGGTTCATATTCTAGCCTGTTTTTGATGAGGATAATGACCAGGGCTACTTTACTTCTCTGATCCTCAGTTTCCTCTTCTGTAAAGCGAGGATAACAACAGTAGCTTTCTCATGGAGCTTCTGTGATGGTTGGATGAGGTAATATATGTAAAGGGCTTAGAACAGTCTGGCACATAACAGCTATGTGCTAACAGCTATCTTTGTTGCTATTACTACTGGTAGAAGACTCCCTGTAAGATTTTGGAGGAGAGATGCCTTATGTTACTCAGAAGATTAATCTGTAGACAAACTAATTAAATTACATGTATTGTATATAATTACCAAGAAAACAAAGAAACTGGGAGAAAGCTTTGGGACAGACTCACCAAGGGCCTGGTAAGGAGCCTGCCATCACACAGCCAGTGAAGCAGGTTCAGTTCCACTTCAGTCAGGTGCTGCCCTCAGGCTCTCTAACTCCCTGGCTATGTAGGTGCCATGCCGTGTCTTTTTCTCACAAAGAGATATGGATGCTTATGTGTGAATAATTTGATTGTGAGGAGTTGACTCTACTGGAAGTAAATTTATTTTTTTTATAATGTTTTAAAAAATTCAGACAGGGTCTTGCTATGTTACCCAGGCTGGTCTTGAACTCCTGGACTCAAGTGACCCTCCTGCCTTGGCCTCCCAAAGTGCTGGGATTACAGGAAGGAGCCATCACGCTTAGCCTGGAAGTAAATTTCATATGGTTTTTCCTTCATGGAGATGTTAAGAAAAATCTCAAAGTAAAGGTTCAGGAAGGACATGGATAGTTGGGATACTAATGCAAATCTCATTTTATTCATTTGTTTCTGGTGTGATTCACTGCTAAACATCTTTATTTAGTATTAAATCATACTGGATTTAACATCTTTATGCGCTTATTATCTTTTCATGGAGAAACTCATAGTAAAAAAGTCAAAAACAAAGAGCCCAGGTTTTCAACAAAGTGGAGCACCAGATCATGAATAGGTATTTTAGTTTTGCATTTGTGCAAGTACTTGGCACTGTCTAAGCATGTCACAAACATCAACTCATTGAACGCTCATAACAACCTATGAGGTGAGTTCCATACCTCATCCAAGGCTATACTGCTGGTTTGTGGTGGAGCTGTGATTTGACTCTGGATGTCCAGTTCCAAAGTCAATGTTCTGAAACCATTAAACTATGTTGCTCAGAAAACGCTAAGAAAAGGTAACAGTTCTGGATTAGCTATTTATACTATATTAGCCAAAGGGCCTAGCTATCGTCCCAGTGGGGGTCATCTTAGAGAATTATTCTGCCTATAACATTCACATGGACATAAAACACTCTTTCAGTTCTTCCTTCTGGAACGAGAATTGACTTTTTTAGTTATCCTTTACAGATTGTCTCTATACATTTAAGAAAACAGCTATTAAAATTTAACCTTCGTTCACCTCATGTCTCATCTGCCATTCCAATCATCTATTCTTAAATAAAAATCAGAGTATATCTCTTAATTATTTCTGTAATGTGAAAATGATTTAGAATGAAGTGGAAGAAAAATTATTAGGGACTCAATCTCACACTACTAAATTCTGGAGAAATATCTAGGATCAACAACTCATACCTATAATACTGGGCCTCCTGTTACTTCAGCAGCACTGAGTTCACTGAGCCTCCTGACCTCAGGCTGAGCCCTTCAGGTCCTGCCATGAGAGGTGCTGCTGGGAACATCACCCAGGAGACAACCTGCAGCCCCTTATTAGCTATGTGCTTGGGAAGGGAAGGAAACCTCCTCAGGTGAGACTGAGGTTTTTCTGAACTTCAGAACCCTGAACACTTAACATCTTATGCCTTAGGAGAAAGCTATGGTCAGGTGCTCGCTCAGCTGGAGGTGTGGCCACCATAAATATACCCATTAGAACTATGAGCAGCACTGGAAGCTGCACACAACTGGCCTCAGAGTTTTTCTCTCACATATAAACGCCTCTTTTGATTAAGAATGTTAAAATCTTTGTGTCTTGTTAAATAATTGTGAATAAAGAGGCCTACTAAAATACATACAAAAATAGAGAAATGCTTTGTAGATCCTTTTTGTATTTTGACAGTCACAAGTCCATTGTTGTTGAATGTTTATTGAGCTCTAACAATGTGATAGGTGCCACACAAAACATTAGACACAGTACCTGCCCAGTGGGCTTACAATCTAATCTAAGGACATGAATCTTTCTTTTTTTTTTTCTTTTTTAGACAGAGTCTCGCTCTGTCACCCAGGCTGCAGTGCAATGGTGTGATCTTGGCTCACTGCAACCTCCACCTCCCGGGTTCAATCAATTCTCCTGCCTCAGCCTCCCAAGTAGATGAGATTACAGGTCCCTGCCACCACGCCTGGCTAATTTTTTGCATTTTTAGTAGAGATGGGGTTTCACTATGTTGGCCAGGCTGGTCTTAAACTCCTGACCTCAGGTGATCCACCCACCTTGACCTCCCAAAGTGCTGGGATTATAGGTGTAAGCCACTGCACCCAGCCATGAATAATTTTTTAATTTTGCCATAAGTTTGCTGTTCACAAAAATGAGGTATTAACTGCACTGCTTAGTGCAGGAAAAGAGTCTATGGAATCACTGACTTTTTATGCAGGCTTCCCTATGCAAGTAGGCACAACTGTTCATGTTGTATTTATTCTCTCAAAGTATGGTTGGCATTTCCCCAAATTTGGTGATTTTGTGATGTGTACAAGCATCTATACAGACAGAACCACCAAACCCACATTTTTGTAAATCAGGGTTCAAATTTGGCCTCTAGTCCAGAAGAAAATGTTTGGTTATATATTCAGAAAAACACTACTATTCAAAATAGGCCCTAAGGAAAAATAGTATGGGAGCTATGCTCCTGCTCAGAGTTCCTAACATGTCCAGAAAGTGCCTCCTCACAGCAGCCCTGGAAGTGCTCTTTACTCTCAAGGTCTTTTGCCTTCAGAGCCTAGAGATGCAAATATATTTGCTGGGTTCTGCCTGGGCATCTACCCAGGGGAGGTGTATCTGAGGGCCAAGTCCTTTCAGTGCCTCATGGATCACAGTGCAGATAATCCACGTGTTGGTCCTTGGCAATACATCATGCTAATTTAATTTCTATCTCAAGTAGCAAAAATGCACCAGAGGTCTCCAGAATATATCAGGAATTTGTAAAAATGCAGCACATTAAAATATGACACTGATAAAAATTCATAAAGATGCTGCTTAAAAAAATTTGTCCTTTTCTTGTCACAGTGAAGTCAAGTGGTAACACCTTTATCTGTGAATCACTCAGCAGAATAAATTGGTTTCATATGGAAGGAAATGTAAACTAACTTACATGTATTTAAAGCAAATTATTTAGTTCTTCATTTTTGTTACTTCTATGCCTTCTTTACAGTACAGTCTTTTGTCTTTCATCCTGATGAACTGATAATTTACTACTTATTACATTTAGATTCCCAATCCTTCATTCATGTATATCTTGAATTTCAACAAGATATAAAAATGCAGACTCCAGAGCTGCATTTTATAATGATACAAGCCTTCTGAGGAAATTCTCTGACAGGAGCTTTTAATCCTGCTGTGGTCTATACTACCCTTTCCAATACAATTTTCCTCCGAGCTTATGAAAAATACAAAAAAAGACCAACTGGCACATTCTGAATGTGTTTTCTGAACAAGTATATAAGTAGAGAGGGAGGCCATTTTGCAAATGCAGATAATGCTGGCAAGTCATACTTCTAAATAAATTATAATTTGATTTGAAAAGGTTGCCTGCATGTACATTTACCATTTAACAAAGAGAAACCGAACTCCTACCTCCACTCAAGTTGGTAACAACCTTATCTTACAAACAATGCTTACTATTTTAAAAGCTGCAGAAAAAATACATGAAAAAATGAATAAACAAAAAATACATAGTGAAAGGGCTATGAACTCTTGCTCCAAGGAGTAGATGAAAGACTGATAAAAGAAGCTGAGGTCCCCAGTGCTTCCCTTTCAATAGTTTGTTAGGCTAAAAATATTTCAGTTTTTAAAAATTCTGTACTTTCTTCATTTTTATTGCAACACAATTTGTGAACCACAACTGAGTCTCTATGTAGGATCCTCAGGATGCAAATAAGAAAAAAACTTGACATTTTATTCAGATTTTTCTATTAGACTGAGCCACTAATGTTTGGTTAGGGGCACTTGGTGGTTATAAAACACAACTGGCATGATAAAACCACACTAAATAATGTCTACTTTATTTGAACAGTTATATCAAGAATGGCCCTAAATTTAATCAATGACTAAATTTAATGAAAGACTCTGTACTGTTTGAAGGTATTTTGCCTGCAGGTGAGACTGGTTTTGAGGCACAGAAACGTAGCCTGAATGAACCATTCAGAACTCATCGTGCATCCAACTGAACATGTTTCATGCTTACCCGATTTTATTTTATTTTTTAATGCAACAGGCCCAGTTTTCTCACATTGGTGCTTCTCTTCATGCTAGAACTGCTTATGTCTACAGAGTCCCTGAAGAAGCAAAAATCCTTTTTTTAACATTAAACATAGCATATGGAGTTTTTCCTCAGCTCTTGGCCTATCGTTGTATCTACAAACCAGAGTTCTTCATAAAAACAAAGGCAGAAGAAAAAGTGGAATAAAAATATTACTTCATGTTCTTCCTTTCTAAATTACTGACTTTTGTTATACTGGTACTGATATTTTGTCCCATTTCACTCTCTTCCCATATATGAATGCTTAAGAATATGTACATTCTTGCTCTGCACTGTATATGTGAGCTATATGGTATTGTATGAGTACATTTTTTTTGAAGGAAAACTGCAATTCTTGAGAAACAGTTTGTATAAAGAAACAGAATCATTTGTGAATAAACCTGACCATCCATCTCAATATTCTGTTTGACATATGAAATAATTATAAGTGTAAAACATTACAATTTAGTGCCTACAACAGTGAGCATGAAATAAAACTATATTCAAGAGAATATGGCCTGTGCATATTAAAAAATTCAAAAGTTAGTGTAGATTGGAGAAATAACTTTTGCAATATGTATATGTTTCATTATGAACCTCAATATAAAAGGCAAATCAGAATATTTTTAAATGTTGTTTGAAAAATGTTTTCCAAAGGAAGGTTTATTATTTGCTGCTGTTTTAAGAAAATTACTTTTACTAATTTTTTATGTGAATTTAAATAGCTAAATAGCGATCAATAACTTTATCACTACCCTTAATGAACATTTGTTTTATTGGTGGCTGGAAATATTTCTATTGTATTTCAGGTATATTTTTAATAAAATTATTTTTGGCTTCTTATGAAGACAAATCTTACTAAAATTTGAAACATTTCATATATACACATAAAATTGCTTTTTAAAGAAAATCTGTGAGTTGTATATTCCAATTCAAAATGCCAACTACATTCCCCTTATGTTTCAGTGTGGGCAATGAAGAGGCTTTTTGAAGAATTAATTAAATTTCATTAATTTAAAGGTACATTTAAATATTCAAAATTAAAAAGTACCTTTTAAGGAAAAAGTATTAGTTTGACATTCCTACTATCTTTTTATGAACTTTTCACGTTTGGGATTGTATATTGAGTATATTAAAGAAAATCAGTACTTACACAATGAAAGAAACGCACCAAAAGTACAGCCACCTCCTCAGTGTGTCCTGGAATGATAAATGGATTGGTGCTTTCATACCCTTAGCTGCCATCATCATTATTAACGGCCCTAGGCTTTTAGATCTGCTCACATTTTCTCATGTTTTTATTAGCTCTCATCAAGAAAACCAAAAGAAAATGGGATATGGAAGTTACAAAATCTAGGGTCTACTGGGCTGGTAAATATGCATGTGTAAGCAAATCATGTAGTCATTTCCCCATCATCCCCCTCAGTGTTTTCAAATAATCTAAAACCCAGAGAGTGCTTAAAAAAAAGAAAGAAAAAGAAAACCCTCACCTGCACTTGATTCTATTGTCAGCTTGCTGTGAACAACTTTTGCTTTAATATATGAATTACATTAATACCTCACATTACATATATGAAGCCAAATTACACTAACTTAGTTTGCTTACAACCTCAAATCTTACTCCCAGTACACATTCCAATAAATTTATTCTGTAAAAACAATACATTTTTTTGTTTTTGATTTTTTTTTTTACAGTAAACTTTTCAACTACAAACCTTGAATACGCGAAAGATGTTCCAAGGACAAGCATTAACAAGATTGATAAAACTCAAACTGACTAAATGTGTTCTCACAATATAAGCTGGCATAAAAATAAATAAAATTCTCTATTATCACAATAGCAACAATAATGTACACATAATAATGGTTTGTGGATGAATATTAACTATTCTAATTGTGGTTTCAAAAGAACAGTTTATTTTAAAAGTCTACATTTAAAAGTCAATGCTTTGTCTGGTTTCCCATAGGGCTGTTGCGGTTTCTAGCTTTAAAATGTAAAATACCCACCTTGAGTGCTTAGCTCAAAATTGTATTGGCACTGGGAAAAAATAAATCATTGCCTTTATTTTGGAGTAACACAAAAAGACTCACTAACTTCACATATAGAAACTCAGTTTGTGTACATAACAATATGAATTTTGAGAAGTATAAGCTGTCAACTAGCTATTTCTAATACAGAATAGATATTTTACAATATGGTTAAACTTTACACATGGCCTCAAAACTGAAGGACAATTTTAATTTCGTCTTCAATATACCAACATTATGTATTTAGGATTTAGTTCCTGGGTTCTGTCACAGAGAGGAAATTCCATTTTTAAGCATTATCTTGAGTGGTCATCTAAAAATGTTAATTTATATTTAACTGAGTGTTTGGTGATAGTGGGGTAAAGGCAGGAAAATGATGATCATAACTGCCTTGATAAAAGGATCCTAGACATGTATAAGTCTGCGCAAAAATCTTGATAATCCTTAGTGGTTAAGGGCAACTTCATGCAACCAAATAACATGAAATTAAATCAGTAACTTTTAAAAAAGGCTAAAATGTCTTTTCCCCCCGAAACACAACAGAGAGGAATATGAATAATGTACATACAAACTGGGGTTCTGTCAATGACAACAAGGACTATGTGTTGGTTCTTATCAAATCCAAGAATATTAGACAACCAAACATATAACCTTCTTGTGGTTTCTCTTAATATGCAGCATTCATTATGGTAGTTAGGTCTGTAAAAAAAAAAAAAGAAAGAAAACAAGCCTTTAGATGATTTAGGATACTACCAATGAGAGCTATCCATACCTAGATAGTATATAATTGGGTTTTCTGAAATTTTAATATGCACTGCAGCATTAACAATACTTACTGAGCAAGAGCAGCTTCTGTGGCTTTGCTTTAGACCTGTCAGTGCAAAAAGTTAAAGGAAATACTAGGGTATTTTTAGTGCCCATAGAAAAAAAGAATAAACCCTGTCTACTGTCTGCTGGGGTAGAGTGCAGCAGTGTACATTCTGCAATTCTAGGATTATATTTATTGCTGGAATACATCATCAATGGAGAAATTGATATAATCTATCTTTGTGAGGACTGTGCTGTCAGAAAGAAAGGTAAGCTGTGTAAAATTTAAAAAGCACTTAGAGTGTGCATAAATTAGTCCTCAGAATATTTACAACTTAATTACTTATGACAGATGGCTCAAACAAATATAAGATTTAATTAAGATGTACAAAATTTTTGACTTCATGCGTTTGAAAAAAAAACATAAAGGATAAGAGGAAGCCTAGGTTTCTTTTTAAAATTAAGATGGCATCCATGTGACAAAGAGAAAAATAAAATATTTGTTTCATAAAATAATTATATTTCTATTTGGGTCCCACTTTAAATTGTGACTGGTTCTATTTCCCCAAAAGGATGCTATTTTTTTTTCCTCATCATTAACCCAAATATATTAAACTCCCTAGTAACACCCTCATGGGATGAAGGAAAGAGGGAACTCAGGCCTCAAATATTTTTTTCTAAAAACAGCCAACTTCCACTCTTCATTTCACTAAACGAATGAACATGTTTGTAAGCACATGTGCCCACTCATGGGTATGTTCTCATTTAGACAGCCAAAATGTATACTAAATGGTATATATTATAATAAATGATTCCAGTACCTTCAAAGGAGAAGAAGTTTCCAAACCTTTCATCCCCTTAAGATGGCAGAAATACACTTTTTAGCCTTCTGTCCCTACCAAAATTGGGAAGTGAATCTTGAAAAAAAAATTTTTTTTTAATTTATGAACTTGAAAAGTGGAATGCCTGGTGACTCCTAATTATTTCTTAACAAAAACACCAGTTAGAAGATTGTATTCACAGATACTTTGGAGGATCTTCCTCTCTTGTGAAGGAGGAAGACACCCATTAGAACAATGAAACATTGTCAGTCAACCAAAAAACCTTTTTTTTAAAATACAGAGTCTCGCTCTGTTGCTTAGTCTGGAGTGCAATGGCCCAATCTTGGCTCACTGCAACCTCTGCCTCCCGGGTTCAAGTGATTCTCCTGCCTCAGCCTCCTGAGTAGCTGGGATCACAGATGTGCACCACCATGCCCAGCTAATTTTTGTAGTTTTAGTGGAGACAGGGTTTCACCATGTTGGTCAGGCTGAACTCCTGATCTCATGATCTCCCTGCTTCGGCCTCCCAAAGTGCTGGGATTACAGGCATGACCCACCATGTCTGGCCAGAACCTTCTTTAACAATATTTTCTTATGATTACTGTGAAAGGCAATAAACTCTTATGTTTACCTTGGTAGAACACTCATAGTAAAAACTACTCAATTCACATTAAAGAATATTTTTGGGACAGGTGGTCCCATGGCAGCCTCAGAGTAGAATTAATATCCCAAACAAAGTGAAGGGAGCCCCAAGAATGTGACTACAATTTTAAAGACATGCTTTTTTTGGGTCTTTAAACAAGGTGCCGTCAAATGGGTTTGTAAAAGCAAATTACAAAATTTGAGATTAAAAAAATTCTCAAACCATAATCACTCTTTGCATACATGTATTGAAAACTGTATCTTGCTAATTCATCATGGTATATATTCTGGACATGGTACTCTGTCTCCTAGGTCTGAAGTCTCCTCTGAGTAAATTGTCACAAGTGGTTCCTTATGCACTGGTTGCCATTCACCCCTATAGCAGGTAACAGCTGGAGAATCCAATCAGATTTTCTCTGGAGGTATCTAAATGTGAGGCACACTGAGAGGCTGTAGGGTGGCAGCGAAGCTGAAGGATACCCAGAACACTATAAGCAGAAGCTATGAAGCAATAGAAGCCATAAGGATCTTTTCAAGAAGTACCATTTTGACATGAAGGAATGTCAATATGGCTATTCAGATGTGGCAATTTGGCATATTGTAAAAAATAAGTAACTTATTACTTCTAGAAAAACAATTAATTTGAGCATTTAGTGAAAATTAGAATTTTGAATCCTCCATGACTGACAGTTTTCCAATACTTAAAGACTTTATTTTTTTAATAGACAGGGTCTTGCTCTGGTGCCCATGCTGGAGTGTAGCAGTGTGATCACAGCTCACTGTAGTCTTGAACTCCTGGCCTCAAGCTATCCTCCTGCCTCAGTCTACCAAAGTGCTAGAGTTACATGTGTTAGTCACTGCACTTGGCCCAATACTTAAAGACTTTTCTGATGAGAAAGGTAGTGATATTAAAAATGTGATTAAAAATATTTTATACTGAAATGGGTTAATATTTGGAAGACCCAAGTAATTCAGAAAACCTATATTTTCTAAACAGTGGTAAGCTATTCAAAGTACCAGACAGATCAACAAGCGTATGGAGAAAAGCACAGTATCACTGGTCATCAGAGAAATGCAAATCAAAACTGTAATGACATACCAGCTCACACAACTCAATGGC